TGCTTCTTGCAATTACTTCAGGCAGAATAGTGGCTGCCTTGTCCTCAAAAGTAGAGGAACTGAGTCATAAATCCTATAAAGATTCAGATACAAAATGAGACCAGTTACTGTTGGTTTTTGTAGAGAAAGGGAACATTTCAGACCTCTCTTTGTTTGCTGTGCAGTGTCTCATCACAACCTGTACTTAAACAAGTGTAAATATATGACCTTCATGTGTTCCTAATGTTGCAGAGTCTTGAGGAACAGAGTTTTATCCAGAAATACTTTAGCTAGTGGCTAGGCATTTAATTAAATGTGTGTATAAATGAGTGATTGTTGCTACATCAGGCAGAACAGTAAAAATATTCAAAATTCTAACCAGAACGAAGCAATAACCGTTGCTTGAAGTGAATGGGTACTTTTTATTTATCTGATAAAGGCCATATTCAAATCAGAATTTTCCATTGCTATTAAGGACCTATATCATGTTATTAGCATTACTATATTAAAAACAAGGTATACCAATTGTGGGCAAACACCATACGATATCCATTCAATTTATACGTTTTTCCACTTATTTTAATACTATTGCTTTCCTATATAGTGGTGTTCTGACTGAATGTTTGAAGATCACTTTTCACAACATTCTAAAATAGAAAGAGACAAATCTAAAATGAGGATTGCTTGCCAACCTTTAAGAAAATATTAGAACTGAAGTTGTATTTTCTTGGAAACAAGTTCGCTTATCTATTTTATGTTAGATATGGTATGTAAAGGGTTCAGTAAAAGGTATTCTATGCCAAACCCAATAGTGAGTCCACGTTTGTTGTACAGTTGAATGTGGTTTTAAAATTTGGTTTTAACTTTGTGTGGTGGTTGGTTGGTTGTTTTGATACAGGAAAGTGATTCTGATTCTCTCCCTAGTGTATCCCCTGTATGGGCACAGAGGAGCCCTAACTTCCCCCTCGATGTTGCTGGCACACTGCTTTTCTTTGATGCTTTGGGTTAACGCTGGTCTCCCCTGCCTGGAAGCTCCTAATGTGGATACTGTCAGAGACAAATTCTGCACTGGCAGAACATCCTGCTGCCGGTTCCTCTGCTTGCTCAGACGCCTATCTAGATACCTATAAAAACTTGGTGAGAGAGTCTTCATTGTGTGTTAAGCCCCATGCTTTGCCCTACCAAGCCTGCACGTTTGATACTGCTGTGTCACAGCCAGGCAAAGGTTTCAGCCAGCCGGCTGAGATTTGTGCCTGGCTGAAATTAATCTTTCTCCTCCTACTCGCAGCCTCCGCCATCCGCTGCAGCAATAGTCCCTGCAGCCCAGTTGCCGTCAGGGCATGGATGGGACAGATGAGTGGAAACAACTAGAAGCTTCACCTTCCCTTTTCAGCTGTGTAAAATAAACCAACCTAAGCACTGACTGATTTCAGAGGCCCCCAAATATTTAAGACACGCATTAAGACATGCTGTGTCCTATGCTTAAAGCTCAACAATCGAAGCTACCCCACTTCTGATGAACATTAAACATAATGGGTGAATGTACCCAATGCAGTTGAAGCAGCTTCTGACTTTACGTTAATTTTTCTTGGCTGTCTTTAACCTGTTGGGAGACACAAATAATTCTGTGCTGTAATGCTATAAACAAAATATTTAAAGATCATGCAGAAATTCAGGAAGGTGCCCTTACCTGGAAAGGTGCTTAAATACCCTTAGAGTTTAGCACATTGTTGAATTTAAGTGTTTATGTAAGAACTGGCTGTTCTAAACTAAGACAGAGGCATTGTTTGGGCGATTTTTTTCTTCCTCACTCTGTGAGAACAAAACCCAATCTTGCAAAGCGTGTAACAAGATTTAGAAAGGTCTCTCTGTTTTAGATCAGTTGCAGGAAGATAACAAACCGTCACAGTTATTAGTGCAATGCATGCCTCAATGGCTTAATATGCTTCATTAACCTGAGCAGCGAGCAGTAGTTCCAAGCGCAGAGTGTGACAAGATCTTTTGCAGTTAGTGTGCTTACATAATTTTCTTTTAAAAAGGGCATTAACCAGAATTCAGTTTCTGCAAGAAAATGTCATTGGGTATCATAAGCAGTGTAGCTTGTAATCAAGACATAGGAACAAAAATCACTGGTAGACTATGGAGTGGGGTTTTTTCCCCACCTTTCTGCTGCTTCTGATTTAAATTTTTATTTTTTTTCTTTGAATGCTAGGAAGAGATAGTGATGAATTGTTCCACAGCTCTTAGATATAGCCAGAAATTAATTGTTAATAAAGCTGGAAGTATTTATGATAATGGGAACTGTGCGTGTGTAGAGCTAAGAGAAAAAAATGGGTTGACTTTCAGAATGAGTATTTGCTTTAGAGATTAGTATTATTTCTAAACAGTTTCAGTTTTCGGTGCAGAAAGTTATATATATGTATCTATTGGGAAATAGCACGAGATTTGCATTTAAAACTTTTTTAAGTATTGCCAGCTTAGAATTACACTTTACTTAGAATTACATATTACTGTAAGTATATATGACAACATGTAGTAAACAGAGGAAATGCTGTAGTAGAGCTGAAAATCTGTTGCAAAATCTTTGAATGCTATCAGAGTCTGGTTTGCTCTTGTTTTTGTTTTTTTTTTTCTCCCCTGGCTTGTAGCCACCATAGCCCCATTGAAATTTCCTAGTAGGGTTTCCTTAGCCCAGCAGAGTGATTCCTCTTTCCCTGTACTTCATTTACTTTTGGCATAGGTCTTCATCTCTCCATTTTCAGTTTTATCTTGACAGTCCCATTTGTAGACAAGGTGTTGTCAAGTCAGCCTATCACTGGGGCCAGACAGTGTGTCATGATACAGCCAAAAGTGTGTATTTCTCCTGGTCCTCCTTGCCAGAGAGAGCTGGACTTGTGAAAATGCCCTGTCTGCTTCTTTCCAAGCAAGAAATTTTAGCTCTTTTATTTCTCTGTAGATCTTTAGATGCTTGAAAAGTGACACTTTCCACACACACGTTAAAATCCATGTAAACTTAATGACTATTTAAATATTTAGAGTATTTAGCTTCATAATGATTCGATTTTTTTCTTCTTAGCTTGCTACAATTATATCAGTAATAAATAATGTTCAGGACAGTACCTTATTGCACAGCAAAATACAAAAAGTTCAGTACTGCTTTGCAAACACACATTTTTTGCTGAAGGTTTACTAATAGTTAATATTGCTCGTTTACATATGCTCTAATAACACTTCATGTTCTATTTCAAACTATATACATTTCTAATAACTAACACATTCTTTGCTAAGGGTGAGTGAATACTACGTTCCTTGCTTCCCCAGCTGTCAGAATCAAATGAGATAAGCAGTTCCTAGGAATCTTGTTCTACTAACCAAACAGAGGCTTCAATTCTGAAAGGCTCAAAAATGTGGCTTCTCTCTTCTACCCTGAAGAAATAGATAATGCTGATTACAAATGCCAGTTTCTTCGGGTGCACTCAGTGATAGCTGAGTATTGACCTTTCATTTCCCAGCGTTGTCTGTGGTATTTTGGTAGGCTCACCTGTAAGTAAGCAAATAAAACTGCAATTGCTACTTGGTGCTGGCCAAAATATCAGCCCAGTAGTGACACTTTTGAATCACACTGACACTGGGTAGCTGAAAGAATTGTGAATAAAGGGACTACAATGTTATTATTCATCCGCAATTTATTTACTGATTCCTCCTGATGTAGTTGTAGTGAGGGGATTTTTAGTTTGTTTTAGAAAAATCTTATGCTATTATAGCGCTGGAAATGCCAGTGGAACGCTTTCTAGCTCTTTCCAACATTCAGTTTTGCAACACCTCCGTTACAAAATGATTGATTCCCTTTTCAGAAGCAGTAAGTTCCATCCTGTGACAACATGTATATATCCTGAGATTGTGGGCTTGGTCTTTGTTGTTGTCTCTTTTACAGGCTAGAATCCCTGGGAATTCACCTTTGCTGAGAAACAATGGTGGGTCCTAGAAAACGAGTCCTGCCAAGGATGGGACTTGGCACAGACCACAAATAGAGTGGGAGAAATGTTAAAATAACAGCATTTAACTAAAAAAAACAGCCAATCAAGCAAACAAACCACAATCCAATAAAAAAGCAGTATTATAAAACATGTTTTTTAAATTAAGTAGAAATGCCCTTCTGCCGTCTACTTTCTTTACTTCCTATTGCAAAGTGAGTGACGTTATTCAAGTGTTGCCTTATAATACTTTTAATAAGTCTAACGATCTTTGTTCACGTGGCAATGAGGCAGTGGAGGCACTGTGAGGTATGAGTCTTGTATATCATCTGTGATAACCGAGAAGTTCTGACAGTACTTGCTTCTTAGGAAAGTGGATCCTCTGTAAACATTACATTGACGTTATGTGAGAAACCTGTGCAGAACAGCAGAGGTGTCTGATAACAGTGTTTCTAACATCAATGTGACCGTAGAATATTTCATCAAGGGTGGGCTATGTATTAGGAAGGTATCCTTCAACCTAGAGCACAGTTTTAGTTGTTATCTAATTAAATATATCCGGAAGTTCAAATAATCATCTTTACTAATAGTTCTTAATATACTTAAGGCACTTTTCAACTCATAGATGAAGACTGAATACTTTAATATCTGGATTTTAATCTTAATGGCTTGTCATTTGTATAAAACACTATTACACGATTACACTCGTCAGTGTGACAAGGGTCATCAGCATTTGTCACTTAGTGAAAAATGTTTATTGGCTTTACCGGATAGCACCTTCCCCTGCAACTCATAGTCTTTCACTGACTTTTTCCTTATTATGGATGTCAGATTCTTGTCTTCAACTGCAAGCCTTTGCCCAGCCCTGTTCCCAAAACTCTGCTTCTAAGTACTCATCCAGACTTCTCCATTCTATGAATAACCTTTGAGCAGCCTCTTTTATTATTGTTTATACACTCCTGGTTGTGTCTTCTGGACCATCTCCTATTAAACTTTATTCCATCGTATAATTCACCTCTTTGAAAAGAAATTATGTTCTCATTGCAGGAAATGACTTTGACATGTACCAAAGCCAGTTCCTGGAACTTCGACAACGACTTCTGTATGCTGAAAAGGAAAATAAAAAAAGATCGCACGAACTGAGCAGTGCCCTAGATGAAATTAAACGTGCAGTCGCAAAAAGAGTGAACTTGACAATAAATCGTACAGGTTTGTGTGTATAAAAATGTACTGTGTTAATGCTTTTTTGTGTGCTCATGTTTCTTCATCACTGGTGTAGGGAGAAAAATCATTGATTTGATTATGTTAACATATAGGCGGAAGTTTTGACTTTAAAAAAAGGGTGGGGAAGTAATCTGTAGTCCCTCTTTAAATAGGATCTGTTAGTAATTAAACAAATAAGGAGAGGGGAAAAAAAGGGGGCATAATGGACTGCAGTGGTGTCATAGTGCCAAAGCTGTGCATGAGTTATTTACAGTGCTTATATCTCTCTTGCTGCCAACTAGAGAGCACTATGCCACTACGCCCTGATAAGTAACAGGGCTGTGCCTAACCTGAAGGAAACAGACCTCCTCAGGTGTTCTATAGTCCTGGTCCCCCTATTGTCCAGGTGGAGTGACTTTCTGGGGACAGTTTTGGCCATGAGGGCTTTGCCATCCTGCCAGCAGACCCCAGGCACTGAGGTAGCAGCCCACATACAGGTGGGTGCTTGCCTGAACCCTGGAGCTGAGAAGCCCCATGAGGTCTTACTGGCTGGATACAGCCTAAGAATGTTGCCTCTTGAATTTTTGTTTCTTTCTTTGGTTTTGGATTTTTTTAGAGGGAAACCAACATGCAGTTAAGTTTACCCAAGTCATCTGGCTTCTTCTCATTGTTTAATTAAACATCTTATTTACTTAAAAGTATATCAGATCCTTACCCTATAGACTGTTGTACGTGCCCATCTGTCTGCACACTGTAGTTGCATACAACAGATTGGGCAGATTCTGTCCCCTAGAAGCAATGATGTAGTGGTGCAGGATCTGCCTTCCTCCCTGTTCAGGTTGGAAGAGCTACTTCTATGGGGAGAGAAGGAAAACTGGAAGGGGCATCTCTGTGCTGGAGACATTCCACAACACACACTGACTTCAAAAAGAGTCTGGGTACTACTGAAAACTAGTTTTTAAAAATCCTTATTTGCATTCAGTACAGCGGCTGTTATCAGATTAAAATAGGGAATTAACCAGGATTCCTACAGGGGAAGAAGGAACAAGGTGCATTCCAGCTTTGTTTCTTATCCTGTTCTTCTCTGCCTCTTTTTGTCTTGTTTATCTCGATATTAATTCAGCAGGACTGTTCCGGGGTGTATAAACAAATGCCTGAGTGTTGGCAGGGTTGTGGCCTTATAAGTTTTAGAATAGAGACCATGTTGTCACCTACCAGTGTCCCCACATACTGTGGATGGGGAGTTACTGCCTAGCGCACATAATAGCAGTACATTTCTTATCCTCTTCTTCTCTGCCTCTTTTTGTCTGTTTATCTCGATGTTAATTCAGCGGGACTGTTCAGGGGTGTATAAACAAATGCCTGAGTGTTGGCAGGGTTGTGGCCTTATAAGTTTTAGAATAGAGACCATGTTGTCACCTAACAGTGTCTCCACATGCTGGGGATGGAGAGTTACTGCCTAGCGCACATAATAGCAGTAGAGGAGAGTGCAAGCTCCCCTTTCCTCTGCTCTTCATTCTTATCAAAGCCAGCTGCATATCACAAAGTATTAAAGCTGTCAATTTATAGGATTCAAAGCAGAAATTTCTTAAAATCATTGAATAGTTTTCCTTTTATTTTTACTCGCTCTTCTGCCTCTCATTCCAGCCAAGTTTTATTGTACAACAAAAATGAAAAGGTTTATTGTTTGCAATAAAACTGAAGTCCATTGCCCAAACCTTGACAGGTAGTACTTCCAAATAAAAATGGAAAGTCCATGAAAACTTATGAACGTGGTTTTAAAAATAAAAAAGTTTCTATGCAGCTAAATGCCTGTATACTTAATGACAAAGCGGAAGAGGAGTTGTGTCTCTCTCTCTCATACACAAATGTCTGGACATATATGTATATGTTGATTTTTTTATTTTTTTTTTTTTTTAAAAAGCCTGTTTTCTGTAGAGTGGGGGCTCTCTGTTGAGTCCTAAGTTTCAGTGTTTAATGACAAAGCAGAAGAAGAGGAGTTGTGTCTCTCTCTCTCATACACAAATGTCTGGACATATATGTATATGTTGATTTTTTTATTTATTTTTTTTTTTAAAAAGCCTGTTTTCTGTAGAGTGGGGGCTCTCTGTTGAGTCCTAAGTTTCAGTGGGAATACCTTTTGAAAGTTGAAAAACTTCAAACAAATATTATTCTTTATTGATCTGAGCTGAGTGAGTAAAGCTGATGATGGTAATTTCTAAGACTTGTTTTAAGGAACTTTGAAGGCTGGTAGATTTGGGGAGTCACCTCAGATGCATTTCTTAGAAAAAATAACTTTCCATTTAAGTCAGTAAACCTTCTGTTGCCTTGCTCACTGCGAAACTGTGAGGTTTGAATTTTTTTGCAGCTTGGAAGAATGTGAGCATGATTTTGTTGGCTAAAACGAATTGAAGTTTTGTTCTGATAGCAAGAAGTGCCCTAGCACTAGCCTCTTTGCACAACTGATAAAGTGTCTGAAGGAGGCACCCACTGGAGTATGAATTACCTTAGATAAATTCACTGGAGTTTTACTTTTCTTTCAGGGCAAAAGACATATACATTGTAGGGTATAGACAAATTCAGCAACAGAGAACGACAGGCAAAATTTTAGTATGAAAACCGTATGCTGCCTGTGCCAGGAAAGTAAGATTTAAGCCTTTAGACAACTGGTAAATAAAGTCTGGAGTGATCTTCAGTTTTGTTTCTAAGCAGTTTTCTTAAATATTAGAAAGATCATTTGTTATTCTTTGTAAATAATAGTCTTCATTTTAATCTATTCAAATACCTTTTTTTTTTAAATCGCATACTGCATATCATCTCTGTCCCTACGGGTATCTTACATTAAGCACTTTTTTTTTTTTTTTTTTTTTTTAAAGCTTACGATTGGTTTTATAGTGATTTAGGAATTAAATTGTTCAAGTTTTTCTTAAATTGATTTTAAAAAATTCAGCAACAGAGAACGACAGGCAAAATTTTAGTATGAAAACCGTATGCTGCCTGTGCCAGGAAAGTAAGATTTAAGCCTTTAGACAACTGGTAAATAAAGTCTGGAGTGATCTTCAGTTTTGTTTCTAAGCAGTTTTCTTAAATATTAGAAAGATCATTTGTTATTCTTTGTAAATAATAGTCTTCATTTTAATCTATTCAAATACCTTTTTTTTTTAAATCGCATACTGCATATCATCTCTGTCCCTACGGGTATCTTACATTAAGCACTTTTTTTTTTTTTTGCAAGCTTATGATTGGTTTTATAATGATTTTAGAATTAAGTTGTTCAAGTTTTTCTTAAATTGATTTTAAAGAATTTTTACCACCACTGGAACATTCAGGAATGTTTCTATCAAGGAAGATAAATTAGTAAATTAATGGCACTTGGTTTTTATATGGCTTATTTTTCAAAAATAGGGTTATTTCTATAAGGTCATGCTTGATTTATTTCAACATGAATAAGTATTCCAATTATTTTAATCTTTATTTCATCTTAACTGCTATGGTCTTTTGTTTCTCAAATAGTTTCTAAAGGCCTGGATCTGGTTGTCTTTTTGCCATAGGACGTTTTATAACCTGAGAACTTCAGTTTGAGCCTTGACATCTTTATTTCATCTTAACTGCTACGGTTTTGTTTCTCAAATAGTTTCTAAAGGCCTGGATCTGGTTGTCTTTTTGCCATAGGACGTTTTATAACCTGAGAACTTCAGTTTGAGCCTTGAGAACCACCATTTGTTATATTTTGGAGGAAGCATTTAAGTTTTTTAAGTAATTAAGGAAGTTATTAATCAGAATCTGTGTTTCTTTTCATCTAAATGTTGCTTGCCAACTGTGAAAAAAAAAAAAAAGAACATTTTTTTTTCTGCTGCTTTTAAAATAACTGCTTATTTTCTGTTAAGATGACTCAGTCCTGTAAGTGTTTAGGCACAGGGAAATGCAGGCAGAGTTCCCAGGGCGTTCAGGCTTGCAGCTCTGCACCATCACCTGGGTGGGGTGGGTCACACCAGACAATTACCACTGTATTACTGCAGCAGGGTAATAATATATGACATCTACTCACTTCTGAGGAAACGTTCTGTGTGAATAACCTGTGTGTGGTAACCTGCAGTATTGAGGAAAACAGTTGAAATAATAAGCTTCACTGCTGGCTTTTTAATTTATGCGTCTATGTGGGTTTGTTTTTTCTTTAAGATGATATGAAGTGGAAAGTGTCAAACCTCACCAGAAAGCTCCCCGTGCACCTTACAAACATGTACTACTATCTACCTCACCTTCGAGAATATGAAGATGCCATTTTTCCAAATGTTATTTTTGGCCAACAGAGAACAGGAGGTAGGAAATAAAGTTTGGCTTATGTTTTCTGTCTGTTTACATTTTATATTAAGTTCAACCAATGAGGCATACTGAAAGATCAGAGAGGGTTTTCTCCCTAAACTTTATAATGTTACCAAACAATAAATTTTAATGGGAATGGCAAAAGCATTTTTACCACTCTTATCCCAATTTCAAGTATTCCCCAAATCATTCTGATAAACCTTTTCAAATATCAACAGAAAGTAGTCATAACTGAAAAGCAATGTTATTTTTGTTCTTAATCATGGATTCATGTTGCAAAGACACATTAGCTGACATTTTTTCCCCCCAAAATTAGTATGATTAAGGAAACCAGGGAGAATATACAACTTGCACAGTTTGCTAAAGTTAGAAGCAAATGGAAAGGTGATATAATCATTTGAAGGATATTAATAAATTTTCAGTGTAACTTTTTCATCAGCTGATATTTGTACAAATCGTAATCAATTCCAGTGAACTATAATGCAAGTAGTTAAGTTATATCTTCTAATTGTTTTGTGATAGGTAAGAAGAACATTCAAACCCAATAAGCAAACAAGGAACTAGTCATCTATTTTGCTGGGGTTTGTATTTTCTATTTTGCCTTTCTCTAGGGTGATTTATGTAAAGAAACATCGGCAGCACATTTGATTTAACTGAAAAAATAGCATGGCCATGCCCCTAACGTGGGCTAGTGGTGTGTACTGCTGTGGTTCTCACTGTGGATCTCACACTGTGAGATCTTTGTGCTTGTAGATCAGTGTGAGTATGCAAAAAGTCCACAGGTAGTCAGCAAAATGATTTGCAAAAAAACCACAGAAAATCAGATATGTTCGCAAGCAAGCAAAAAGAAGAGAAGAAAAGAAATAACTAATAATAGCATGCTGAATTTGCTGCATGTTTAATTTTCATTTATTTGCACATGAAAATCACAATAGTAAGACCACAGTTTAACAAGTACAGGTTGACCTTCAGCATGTAAAACCAAACAAACCTCCAGTGGTTTAGCAGGTTATGTGCTGGGAAGGAATGTTGGAACTTTGGCATTTTTGAGCTGACGCTGGCACAAATGATGAAGTCTGGAGCCAGTTGCTAACTGCACCTACTCCTTTCCTTCAAAATCTGCTGCTTCCTTACCAGCCTCATGAGGTTTTGATCGACTCTTCTGCAAGGACTAAGAATTTTACAGGTTTACTGAGCCTTATTATTAGATCACTGACTCCAGTTGTGCCCTCACCAATGAAAAAAGAGAGGTACTGCTTACAATTGAATGAGGTAGTAAAGCACAGATTTGCTACTAGTGGAGTCTTTGCCAGAGACAATTTCAGTTCCTTTCTTCTTTATAATAATAACATCTAAGTTCCTTTCTTCTTATTATCGATTATGTCAAAGCCATGGATTGATGTAACTTAAACTGCTCAGGAAGATTTCTGAGATTTTGATTTTTGGATTCCTTTCTGAGATATGCAGTGCTCACCTCCTGTGACAACTTGCACAGTAAAGGCGTGTTGGTTTGACTTACTACTCAGATCTCCAACTCTATACCAAGAGCTTTTTTTGTGAAACCTGCTTTTGAAACTCAACAGCAGATACCTGTGTGTTTGCCAGACGTAGTAATATCTCCAAGTTCTCAAATGCTGACAGTCTACCCAGTGTAGATCTGGTGCTTGTTTCACAAGACACAGGTGTCTCTAACCTAAACTTAGCTGGAGGTATCTCTCCTTCCAGGTAATAAAGCAAATGCTGCCACAGTGCTGTAGGAATATTAACTGTCACTAAGTCTCATGGTTGCATCAAATCAAAATTAAAATGTAATTTCAGTTTCCCTTTACCCAACTTAAAATTATGTGGTTTGTGGACTTCTTTCTTTGCAGTCTCACTGGTGATGGGTATTCCTACTGTGAAAAGGGAAAAACAACATTATCTGATTGATACATTGCATTCCCTACTGTTTGAGCTTTCTGAAGAGCAAAAGAAAGACTGCGTGATTATCGTCTTTATAGCAGAGGTGAGTTTGCATGAGAAGGTGCAGTATACTGATAGAAAGACAATGTGGAGATTTATGTTTTAGTGCAGTAGTGTAGGAGAGGCTGCCAAATATTGTTAGCTAGGCCTCTGGGAGGGATTTCTTCATGGCTGCAGGAGATACTGAGCAGTTGGTGCCTCAGTGCTCCTATGTGGAAAAACCCTTGTAACTTAGGTGATCGAAGGCTAAAAATTCATATTACATTTACAAATACAGTTGTTGTGGTCAGGTTTTCAAATAAAACCATGTGAACTCACAAATTATCTCTGAAAGCATTCTACTTTAAGAATGAAGTGTAAATCCTCCACAAAAAAGTTCCATAGAACCTGAAAAAAGTAAACTTACTCAGTCTACCAAAAGTTCAGATTATTTGGCTGCTGGTTTGGTAACATCTGTCTTGCGAAGTGCCTTGACATACTTGCCTTCTGCATGTGTATTGGCATTTCTTGTGAATAAGAAAACTGCTCAGAGACTTGAATAGTTCCATGTCTGGGAAAGTAAACAGTGGCCGAGGTAAAATATCAGGGGTAAATGAATTTTTTCTCAGTCCAAAATGTCTTGATCACACTGGAAAAAGCTACAGAAGGGAAATAGCTAGTGATAGTCACTTGCAGGTAAAAAGACCGCACAGTTATTCAGGCTTCATATTTATTCTTCATACTTCTTTGTCCTTCCATAAACAACATTAAGTCTCATACATGTATTCATTAACAGTTAAAGTTTGCCTTTTTAGTTCAGTCATCGCTTAGAGCTGCTCTTGCAACTGTAATACTGTCAAACAGAACATAGTTCACTTTATTAAATTAGGTCATGACTTCCACTTTTCTGTTTGGATCACAAGATAGGCCCAACTTTGATGGCTTTAGTTCTCTTCAGCAGAATTCTCAGGAGCTGATTTTATTTTACAGTTGCTATTTCCCAGTGAAGAGCCCTGGCAATGATGAGTTCTGCTTAGCTGCTCTTCAGATAAACCTTCTATTGCAGGGCTTCAGACAGTTCTTTGAGTTTTTAAGGGTTAACTTCTGAAAAGTGCAGTTTCCCCACTGTGGACAGCCCTGATGTGGCACTTCTAGCAAACAATAGCTCTGGTTGTAGTAATAGTAATAGTCCCTTCCAGCCAATTTAGGATTAAACTGCCATTTTAAGGCCTCTCCCCTTTCTCCCATCCCCAAAGTCAGGTTCTTGCAGCTTCTGTTTTTCAGCCATGCTGTAAATTAGAACAGATTGATAGTCCTGTTAAGGGAGGCCACAAGAACATTTAATTATGAAAGTGCATTCACTGATTATAAATCCACACCTTACTTCTTCCCAGAAAGTTTCAGAAAATCCAGTTAAATATTTACATCATGGATTAAATCAGAGTAACTTATTGACTGGAAGTGAGTTTCAAAGTTGTTGGTATTTTTTTTCTGATCACAGTTCTTTACTTATCACATTGCATTTTTGTTACTTATTACAAATTTAATGTATAGCTGGTAACAATTATTTGTGTATTTAAAAAAAAATCTGAACTGCTAAGACAGGAATTGTATTGCTTTCAAAATCCATAAAAATTAGCACTCTTTAATGTAGTTAACAAATGTGTTTTCCACACTAAAACTGCTATTCTTTATGAAGCAGCAGCAGTGAATAACTGTGCCCTCAGAACTTCCAGACTAAGAGCCATAAGTTTGTTAAATTAGGAAGAAGCTCTAAATAAAAGTTTTAAGTATTGCTAGCTTTAGAAAATTTTGCTTAAGTGACTTTTCTCAACAGCCTCAGGGATCTTTTGTGATTTTTGGATGATTAACCTGAAATGACACTATTTATTGACTGTTATATGTGTGTACTTTTCTGGCATAAGTGAAATTTGTAGAACAGAGTTTTATGCAGAAAATGGCTTGGTCTCCTGCAGAAGCAGTGAAAAAACAAAATGCAGACACCATAGCTGGAGATAGTTCGGTTCTACTTTCAATTATGTTAAAAGTTCAGTTGACTTTCAGTAGTAGTAGTCCTTTAGTAGAAATGCTGCTCCAAGGTACTGGTTTTGTGTGAGATGAAAAGAATTGGAGAATAAAAAATGAAGGCTTTGCTTTTAAATATTCCCTACAAAATTTTGCTTAATACAAAAGTGGGTGACTTGAAATGAACCGCCCCTTCTTTTCTTTAGGTGAATGCAGAATATGTTAACAGTGTTGCAGAAAGTATTAAAACCAGGTAAGTCCCATAGAACGTAATCCTGAAGAGCTAGTAAACACTTCAGAGCTTTTTTGGAAAGAATAAGAGCATTTCAGCAATAAATTATAACTCTGCCATACTGCAATGGAACCGCTAAGAAATGAGGCAAAGGTGCACTCTTCGTATGTGTATTGTAATTTCAGAACAGAAAGATGTGTGTCAGTTTATTTTCCTTAATTCGTAAATAGGCCTTAACTTAATTAGGCACGGTCTCAATGTAAGGCTCTGATAAATATTTACTTGGACCTCAATCTTTTCCATATGAAATTAATGATGCAATTCAAGGCACCAGTGGCTGCATGTGTTGGGTCCCCACTGACTTCACGGCCCTGCGATGCATTCTGGTGTCTGTCATGTTTTCTAGGTGTTTTTGTTTCCTCATTATCCTCTTTTTCATGAAAGCAACGGATTTTGGACAGCAATCTGATTCTATTTATAATGTTATATACTATTATTTGATGGGTAACATGAGATGCGTATTCTCTGCTGTGCCAAATTAACGTTAAGGGTTACCAAGCGATGGCTTGAGTCCCGCTGCAGATTTGCTTGCTCTTATCATTCCTTCCTACAGACGTTTATGGCATCGTGTGCACGTGAAAAACCTTAGAGGTAAGGCTAAAGGCCCTGAAGCACAACTGACTGAAAAAAGCATGAGATGGAATCTGCGTTGTGCTGCAGTACTGGTGTTGCTGGTTTCCTTAGCGCACCAGCTCATTTGTGAATTAGTCACTCTGACTGAACCCCATTTTGGCCAGTACTTGAAGCGAAACAGCCATTCCCCTCTCTTCTCATTTAAAATGACTACAAGAGAGCTCTCAGCCTCTGCATCAACATTTTTAGAATAGTAAGAAAAACAAAAAACAGAAAAATTGAGTGGGATCCCCAGAGAGGTTGCCCTTTTCCTTCACTTTTGAGGCTTTACTGCAGGTCCTGTTCTACTCGGGGGTTTCCCAGAGTGTATTTAGGGTGCAGGTTTCCCCCAGAAGGCTCCCCGAGCTGAGCCTGCTGGCTAAGCAATAGCAGTCTCCTCCTGCCTCCAGAGGGGTTAGCTCAGCTGGGAGTACTTCAGTGAGGACAAGGGGAAGAGGTGGTCCTCCTCAGGACTGCTGAGTGCAACAAGGTACAATACACATAGCAACTCGAGCACTTAGATAATTTTTACAATTTTGTTATGTTTTTTTGAAAATACTACTGCGGAGTAGATGCTTTGTCAGTGTTACACAGTAAGACTGAGATTCTTTTTCATGAGCTGCTTCTACTGAGATGTGTTTGATTTTTAATGTTAGCCTTTTTTCTTGAGTGATAGGAAGTGGGGAGCTCACTTCTGAGAACTCCTTATTTCCCTGATCCTATACCTATTAAAAATGGAAGATTTATATTTTTTACATATTCTGGAGGAAGATGGACATTTGGCTTCCAGGTTTGGCTCTCAAAGTTGCTTACGCATTTTTTCAATTACTTTTTGAATGGAAACTTCAATCCTTGGAGCAGAACTAGACTCCCCATACAAAACCTGCACTCCAGGACAGTATCATTTTGGCTAGAATGTAGAATTAGACTTAGAGCTAGTGTAAGGAAACTAGGAGCTCTCATGCAAGGGGGAATAGTTGTGTGTAGTTCTAGATAGTGGATTTGGTTGTGAATTACTGCTGCGGTTTGGCAACCATCTCAGGATGCAGGAGGGGCAGGATTTCTGAGACTCGCCTGTCTCCAGCATTTTCTGTGACTTTGAGTTACAGTCCTGCCCATTCTGATAGCTGGCTCCTAATTTACAATCTCTGTGACTTAGTTTCTTTGCTAGAGTTGTAAATTCCACTTACAGAAGAGCAGACCTAACTCTGGGGAGCTGCTTTCTGTGGTTGCCCTCTAAAGTCGTTTTGAGGAATGGGTTCTCACTAAGCTTCTCTTCACAGCTTCCCCAGAGAAATCCAGTCTGGAATCCTAGAGGTTATTTCTCCTCCTGCTTCTTATTATCCAGATCTTTCCAACGTGAAAAAAACATTTGGGGATTCAGAGGACAGAGTAAGGTAAGATAGCTGTATAAATCCTAAGAGATTTTGCTAAGAGTATAAAATTGAAAATACTGCAAAAGTCAACACTGAGGTGATAATGTTTTTGTATTTCTGAGTTAATGGACCTCAAGTGTGCTTTTGAAAAAAATTGTTATACAAGTGGATCTTGAGAAAAGCTATGCTGCACACCAGCTTCAGGGTGAGAGCCAAGGTTTCTCCTTTGGGTCTTGACTCTAGACATCCCACAGGTCTTAAACCACATGGATAATGACAAGAGGCGATGATCTGCTCATAAAGGAAAAAATAGGAAAATGTTTTATGTGACAGATAAGGGAGAGGCTCTGTGAATACACAACAGAAACCCCACGAGGCCCCTTAGCTAACTAGTAACAACTCCTGTGGGTTTAATTAATGACCTAACTTTGGGCGATCATGGGCTTTTTATACTACTGTTAATAATATATCCTAACTGGTGATTTCATTCGCTTGTGCGCCCCAAATTCACTGAGACAGAGATTATAACCTAGCCAAATTGATTTACAGGAGGAAAGTAATCTTTTGATCAACAGTAACTAATTTATCAGAAGCTACCCCAACAATGCAGCAAGACAGCTGCAGTACTGAAAATTTAGGTTGATGGAAATCAGCAAGTGTATGTATGCATGTTTGTTGGGTTTATAGACAAACTTTTTATCTTTCAGAGCACAAACATGTTTACGTACTTAAGTTTCAGATATGATTAGATTTGAATCAGATACACTTATGTTAATTAAATCCTGATAAATTACTCTCTAGTCTTATAGCATTGATCATCATGCTTCATCCTCTGGTACAATGAGAGACTATACTGTGTAGAAAAAAATTTGTGTTTACATTTAAACCTGAAAATGAAGTTTATCAACCTGTTTTCTGTGCTATTCATCAGTAACAGCACTTAATTTTAGATCTATAAATAATCATTGTGTTAATCTCTACTGTTCATAACTGTACTCATAATTCTACTTATAATGAGTAGAATCTTTAAGTCATTTGACATGAATATACTTGTTAGATATTTTGTTTCACATTGCATTGATACAGATCAAATTTTTTTGCTTCGTTAATATTAACTTTTATAGGAAAGTCAAATTATTTACAAATGTTTACACTGATTATAAAGGAATTTTTATTCTCTCAATGAGTTAGAATACTCAACCTTACAGTATTACTGTAGAGAAAAAACTGCAGAGCATTAGAGGTGCTTTTATCATAGAAATAACTCTTGCAACCCTCCAAAAAAAGCTTATCAGAATTTGCTGCTTATGTTTAGGTGGAGAACTAAGCAGAATTTGGATTATAGCTTTTTGATGCTATACGCCCAACCTAAGGGAAGGTTTTATTTACAGGTATGTTCACATTATCATTAAATAGCTGCAATAGATCTGTACTGATTATTAGCTTTGACAATTTTGTTTCAAAGGCCTCGATAAAAACAGCAATCTATTGTCAACTTCTGTGTATTTTTCCTGTGCTCTTTTCAAGCACTCACATATTTCTGTGTTTATATACATCTTGCAGCCAGGTACTATTTGATTAAATCCACCTGTACCTTCCTGTCATTTGTGAGGTTGAATAACAAGGTAACTGAAGCATGAAACCCTTATTTGATTAGCTTGAGAGAGTCAGATTTTAATGTGTTTTCACTTGGTGCAGCAAGGCAGAATAGTGCTGGTAGGTCCAGGTTACAGCCCAGAACACAATGAACCATAAAACCCTTATAGATAGGGAAACATACCAGTATAGTGACACTGGAGACAAGGTTAAACTGTGAGTTGGTACAGATTCTAAATTCTCTAGAAGATCTAGAGTGTTAGACTAAACATGTATTCATCCTTAGGTTTAGCCATCATTCTAGATTAGGCCTAATTTGCACTCCATAAAGACAATAATCATCACCTGAGATTCCAAAATTGATCATGATTGTTCAGTAATGGAACAGATCCATAAAATTTCACGTAGCTCGTCAATGTCAACAGTTGTTTAAAAAGCTCAGGAGAGTGTTTTTCGTACTTAGTTTTCCTGGCTCTTCTCCTGCTCGAACAGGCCTCAGACTGTATCACATAAGTACATCACAAGATTCTCAGAAGCAGAAGACCACAAGAGCCAGCATCTCATACAATTCTTGTCAGCATTTAGCACAAACGCCTTTGACCTGGGCTTCTCAAGAGTCTACGCTCTGTTCTCCAACTTGGCACAGGCCCTCAGGAGACAGGCGGACAAAGAGAAGTGTTGTCCATTGAACAGTTAAGGTTTACTGGAAAATGAAGTATTTTTCTGTGACTTTTGTATATTTTTAAGAACGCTACCCAATACTAAGTGCACTAGAGCATTAAGGCGTGGGAAGCACGGTGAAGGCAAATGTTAATCATGCTGCCAGACACCTAATTTCCTTTTCTATTATAAAGTTTTCCAAGCATGCATGTTTGCATGGAAATGACTTACTTATGTGTTTGTATTTTTAAAGACATTTGTGAGTATGGGTTTTCTTATCTGGGACATTATATAAGGACTGAACCGTGCTATTCAGAGCAAAGCCTGGACTGTGATGGTCTGATGATTGTTATGGCTTTATTTGGAATTTTCTTAAAAGGAAACTAGGCTTTCCTCATATCCTTATCTAGTATATCCACTTCTCCATTTGTGTGCTCAGCCTGCAGCTACTTCTCTAGCACAGATACTGGTCTGCCCAGGGAAATTCTCCATAGAGTACAGCTGAAAAGAAGGAAGACATGCTGCCGTAAAGATAGTTATCATCTATCTCTGTTTGGAAGCCTATACTAATGGAAAGCAAACAACCTAAAAAAATCCCTTTCTTCAGCCTGGCACCAAGATTTACTTCAGTAATCTTATGGGAAACTTGCAATGCATTAGATGTTATTTACTGTTTTTTCAGGAATGGTAGAATTTGGGTGACTGATATTAAACTCTGAATTTTGAAAGAAGATAACCATATGTAATTACTCTTGATGTCTACATGATATCATGAGCCAGGCAAGATCTTAGCTGAATAAACATGTAAGCAGTCATTCTAGGACACTGCTGAATCAGGATTTAAGCAAGTAGCTTTGTGAAGTCCACTGTGGTTAACAGGGTTATGCTGTGGATGAGCCTTAACCTACTGATCAAACATAAACTTTGAAAAAAGGCAGTAAATCACATCAGTCATTGCATCTCTTCTACTTGAAGCATCTCTTCTTCTTTGCCTTTTTTTTTCTTTTTTTTTTTTTTTTTTTTTTTTTCCTCAATCAGCTATTTCTTCTTTTGGGCTTTTTTGTAAAGTTTTCTTAATCAATAAAAAACAAGAGAACTTTTACATGCTTGTTCCCACTTCTACTATGCTTCCTGGAGCCCTCCAGGGCCCCTTGAGACACTTGTCAGAAACAAGATAATGGGATCTTAACCTAGCCATAAAAGCAGGCATTTGAATCCCAACCTAGGAGTGAGGAGACACATTTATTCTTCGTGCCCATAGAGACTTAGTTCATTCTGAAGTGATTAAACATTTCAAATCTGAAAGTGTCTTTGAGAATCTCAGATACAGCAGGTTTTGGGAAGTGTTTTCTATTAGCACTCAGATGAACCCAAAATAAAACAGTAAATCAATCTTTTAGTATCTTCAGTTAAAATCTGTTATAAACTTCAAACTTCGTTAACTGAACTACTGCTACGCTTTTTCTACCTCATGATTTCTTCCTTGTAGAGGCTGGGGGAGCTTTTTCTATTTATATATGTGTATATACTGGTAATATATATTGCCAGCAGCATTTATCTGAACATCATTATAATTTCTCTAGTGTGTTCCTCTGATGGGTTTAAGGCTTGAGCAATAGCTCAGTGAAGTCATTAGGAGTCTTCGTATTGATTTTTTTTTTTCCTTCCCCTCCACGAGACTCTAGATCAAGTGTGCTAGAGCTCCTAAAAGGAATAACTTTCATGAAAGTGTGTTTTAAGATGAAATTTTCCTTATGCTTGTACTAAGGAAAAAAAGGTATCTTTATGGAATGAACTACTGGAGGTTCATTTGCTGTGGAAAAAGAGAGAGTAAGTTTTTTCAGCTTAATAGTCTTCACATATTTGTTGAACAGTGATTCCAAATATAAAAATACCCTAATATAATTTAGAAAGGAAGATACTTTCCAGTCTGATGCCTACACTGCCATTGTATGCTACCACTTTTTTTGTTGCTTCTTTGTTTTCACTTCTCTTAGATAACCCACATAAGAAAAATGAATGGAAATCCATTTATTCCCTAGCATTTAGGAAATTTGCATAGCCTTGCTATTGTGCACATACCTTTTTTCATCCCAAAGTACTGATGAGTGAAGGGAAATTAGCTGCAATCATGTGTTCTACTGGCCTTCTCATGGCAATGGAGCAAATGGACTAGGTAGTTCATATCTTAAACTTCCTGATCCAGCTGTGTACAGCCACTCCATAATCTCCTTTGGTAGAGAAGAGCGTATAAAAAACAAGTGGTTGTAAGCTGAAGCCAGAAAAATTCAAATTAGAATTTGGATACCACATGCTAAATGTTCAGGATAATTACAGGGAATATAACTTACTGAAAAAGAACTGATACTGAAATCTCTAAGCAATGGCAGATGCTCTTCAAGAAGATGTGCTTTAGTTGAATACAAAATACAGTGCTCAGTACAGGGTTAAATAAACCACTTTTAATGTCCTGTGCTACGTAGGATATCAAACTTCATTCTCTGATATTCACTTTTAACTGTCAGCTTCAGAAAAGTCTGTTTCAGACTTCTCACTATGCAAAACTACTTTCAGTTCATAACCACATTCACACCCACTTTGCATTACAGCCTCTATATTTTTCATCTTTACTACTTTTGTGCAGTTTCTTCTAGTGTTTCTCGATATGGTGGTCTCATTAGGTTTTTGAGATACTCCTCCCTCTGCCTTTTGTCCTTTTTTGGGTGCGCCTCAATTTCTCATTAAGGATTCTCTGAAATTTACTTCTATTCCTTGCTCTTCTCCCTTTACAACTCCTACTGAGTAATCCTCTTAGCTCATTCATTTTATGCCAGATTTCTGATAAACTGATGTTTTGGGGTTTGTTTTTTTTTTTTTGCTTGTTGTTCTCTTTTGCATAACTGTCACGTCAACTCTGTCCCCAGATCTCAGAATCTGTCAATAAGCATGAATCTTGATCAGTTTGTCCCCATCTATCTGTTTTTGCTATCTTTACCATCAGCAAAAGCTGACAGGGTCAAAACAGAGCTCTTAATCTTGTCTTTCAGACTTCACCCTGCTTCCTCCTGGGTTCCCTGTCGACAGACAGGGTTCTCCCACGCCAGCCCTACGCTGGCAGTAATGGCCACGCTCAGCTCAACGCCCCGGGCCTTGCTCTCTCATGCTCTTGCTGCTGACTCTGCGCTGAGTCAGCCGAGGACGCAAAACCAGCAGGAAATCATGCATTTATTTTTTTTTTTTCTACTTATTTAGCTTTCTGAATCAGATTCCAGTGCCACCAGACAAGCACCAGGGCCAATGAAGTAAAGATCAAATGAACTGCGTCATTATGCTGCACCCCAACATTTTCTTGGAGGCTTAGTCTCCTCTTTCTGTGTTTTGTTCACACACATACCAAATTCAAACCTTGAATTACTTGCTCATTAATTATTTCTGGAATTCATTTATTTCCTTTTTGTCATTACTCTAAACTCCTTGTTTGGACTCATTATCTTTAGGAACTGGAACAGCTTCTGGCTTTTCGGATCCCCCATTCTTCTCTGAAAGCCATGCAAAAAATGCAGCCAAGGCCTTTCCCATTTCCTTGATGGATGTCAGTCTCCTTTTCCAAGTATCCTTTAGCTGGCTCTACCGCTGCATTCAGTGTCAGCCTTTACAACACCTCGAAAGCTCCATGTATCCCTCCTGCAGTGTGCTTCACACCATGTTCCTTCTTTTGTTACTAGTATCCCCTGAAACAACTTGCTTTCCACTAACATCTTGGTAATCATCCACAGCTTTTCTCAGTCACCTTTTAGGTACGACGAAATCTGCCCAGGCTGCTTCACAGAGCTTTCAACCATCTGCTTTAGACTCTTCTCTTTTCAAACAATTTGTTCCTGCTGCTTATCAATGCTCATACAGCTTCAGTACACACTGTCTACTGTTTTCTTCCTTAACCGTTATCGTTTTGCTGAATGTGAGATCTCTGTAAGGAAGGGAGTCCTCCTGTCTTGAAAAAGCGAGAAGCACTCGTGGTGTTACAATTGGTCCTGTAAACAAATATTTAACGACTGGTACTAAACCAGAGATATCTGTAGAAGCTAAACAGCGATCCACTGTATTTTGGCACAGCTTCAGTACACACAGTACGGCAATCAAACACAATGCAGTTATCACTTACATGTGGCAACATCACCACCCTCTCTGCAAGCAATAAAACCACTTGCCTTCTCTTTTTTTGTTGCTTTTGTTTTTTTTCCCCCCAGCTGGAAGATGATATTTTAGCCAAATCTGATTATTTTCAAAGTATAAAAAACTTTGCTGCTAAACAGTCCCAAGAGTGGATGATTCTTGAGTTCTCCCAGCTTGGATTTATCGGTAAGTATTAAGACCTCAGCAGGGTGAATTGGATTTGGAGCTGTCTAGGTTGAGTAGCATTACACTCAGAATTACATTCCAAGGCATGGTAGGACTCCCATATCAAAACTTCCTTGGTTCTTCAGGAAAGCTCCCATTGAAAGTCTTTTACTTTCTGTGCTCTTTAAAACTGTCTTTTTAGTGCAGAGTCTCCTCAGCAGACGATCTAGTAGTTGGGTTCCCCTAAGAAGCAAATTGTTCCACCTCAGGAACATGTGTGCCCCTATAGCATGTAGTCTTCCTGTCAAGAAGGGAATTTGAACAATCTATAAAAAAAAAACTTCCTTTCCTTTCTGGAGCAGAACATGCATCCCATAATCATAGGGAAGGGGTTTTATTATTTGTAGTAGTAAGTTTCTTTCTATATTTTTTCTCCTGTTCTAATACAATTTACTTGTGATAACACCTTGTAAGTGTTTGGTCAAACAAAAAAAATCTAACAAAACCCGCTAATACAAATAGCAAGAGAACTAAATGAACAGTGATAGTATTTTAAAAGCAAAATTTTCCATAGCTGGGTTTTAAAAGGTATTCAGTATAGTATTGCCAGTGAAATCTCATGTCTAGCACTTTGAGGAATTATATGGATCTCATTTCATCTGACACACTGATACAGGTGAGTGGCAGGTTTGTCGGAAATATTTTCAAAATCCCAACAAGGTGGAAGATAAGCACGTCTCTAAAGCTGGAGTCTGTGTGGAATTTCCACTAAATTTCAGAATTACATACATATTTTTAAGGCTGGAGTAAACATAAAGCTGGTGATTTTTAAACAGCAACAAAAATATCTGAATATGCATCTTCTTGTCTTGCTTTCAGGAAAATTGTTTAAATCAGAAGACCTCCCGCTCATAGTGGATTTTTTTCTCATGTTCTATAAAGATAAGCCCATAGACTGGCTTATAGACCACCTGCTCTGGGTTAAAGTGTGCAATCCAGAAAAGGATGCAGTAAGTATGTCTATGAATTTATGAACAGAATTAATATTCAAACAGTCTCTGTGACAAAATAATTTATTTTAATAAGCTGAATAGAAATGTCTCAAACCTGCCTTACCCTGGAATTTGTGGGGAAAGCTGTGCTGCAGATCTGCATAGAGCGGCACGGTGTTTGAGCCCTTTGGGGCACACAGAGAGGCCTGACTCACAGAAATTCAGATTTCAACACCAGAGCTGTTTTGCCTCCGTCAGCTCAGAACATGGACAGCACAAGCTCACATCTGGTCGCACAGGCAACTCTGCAGCACCAAAGAAAAGTTTGAATACATAAGCCTATGTGGACTATCACTTCTTGTGACCTTCTGCTGACCTTCTAATGTGAAAGTCAGTAAAGCATACAATTGTACAATCACAGTTGTTCTGCATTTTGCGCACCAATTCCTCTCTTTCTGGAAGCAGAACTTAAGTGTTTTGCTTTAAATCTTTTACTTCCTGGGGGAAAAAAAATGATTGTTTGCCTGAAAAAAAGTAATGCAGGGAAACGTGTAGGCTGGATGAACTAAATGATACTTTTCCCTGAAAATGAAAGAAACAGGTGCCATTTCTAGCACTACAGGTGAGCCCAATGATATGTTAAATATTTCTTTATATCCTTTTGCATTCTTCCTCTCACCAGTCTTTGGTGCTGGTCACTGTTCACATTCTTGTTGTGTAACAGGCTGTGCCACGGAGGGCTGACCAGAGTTTCTGCTCCTTGGTTTTTAAGGTTCAAGAGTTTGATTTGATTAGTGCAGCCATTCCAGGTGTTCGCCCATGTCACTTTTATGTTGATAAAGAAGGCAGAGGAGACAGACAGAAATTATGCAGAGCAGGAGATTGAGGAGAGAGGAACAAACAAGCAGAGATGCGTAGCAGAGATGACCCCTGGAGACAGCGGAAGGTCCCTGGTTTTACACTTAGTAGTGCCACTGAGTAGTCTCCATTTCTGCTTCATACAGAGAGGGAGTAATCTTTGAGATCCTACTCCATGGGTTAGGCTGGCTCATAGGAGTTAGGTGAGCCTCAAGTACCTCTAATTTAGGTTCCTGCCTGCCTGTGCTAACAGGATTAAAAAAAGATACTATTATGTTAATATCACTCATTCCAGATCTATCTAATGTGTGCCAGTTTTCATCCGATAGATGAAACATTTTATTTTTTTAAATGATTGTTCTAGCTGCTAAGACCTGATTAATACCTAAAAATGACACCGTGTTCCTGAAAGGCAAGCAGTGTGCTCTGGCCAAGCCAAAGCGGAGTGGCATCAGCAAGTTTCTAGTGACTTTCACTTCTGCGATTGCAGTTTCAATTGCTATGGGTAGCAAAAATCTATAGAGGCAAGTCAGCCTCACACTGCCCATGGGAGGGAATGACCAGTGGTGTGACCTATTGGGATTATTCATGAGAATGCAGAAAATGGAGGCTGCTAGAAGGACAGAGATCCCAGCTGCTGCTCCTCCTCTGCCTGACAGATTAGAGTGGTGGACTTTCTATAGGTGGCAGAGAGGGCAAGCTGACAGAAATCTTCACACTTTCCCCTTTCCAAGTGATTAAGAGTGTCACTAAGAGATCACATGTTGTGTCTCACGGGACAGTCAATGGGCCACCTGTTTGTGGCTTTTACGTGCCATCCTGTGGTGATGGGTGTCTGGCACGTGAGTATCAACATGCCAAGATTCAGCCACATCTGCTCACCGACTTGGAAAAGACAGTTTGTGATGATCAGAGCCATCAGATCTCTGCGTGGTTCAGAAACTTCATAATGTTTACCTCCTGTGAACCATCATCCAGTTCTAGGGTCCCCAGTACAAAAAAGATCTGTTGGAGCAGGTCAAGAGGAGGGCCACAAAATGATCAGAGGGATGAAATGCTATGAAGACAGGTTGAGAGAGTTGGGCTCTTCAGCCTGGAGAAGAGAAGGCTCCAGGGAGGCTGTATTGTAGCCTTTCAGTACTTCAAGTTTTGTAGAAAAGACCAAGAAAGACTTTCTACCAGGGCCTGTTGTGACAGGACAGGGGCAACAGTCTTAAATTGAAGGAGGGGAGATTTAGATTGAACACAAGGAAGGCATTTTTTACAGTAAGTGTGGTGAGGCACTTGAACAGGTTTCTAAGGGAAGCTGTGGCTGCCCCATCCCTGGAAGTGTTGAAGGCCAGGCTGGATGGGGCTTGGAGCAACCTGCTCTGGTGGGAGGTGTCCCTGCCCAGGGCAGGGGGGTTGGAACTGGATGATCTTTAAAGGTCCCTTCAAACCCAAAACATTGTATGTTTCTGTGATCATATGCAGTGGTACGTATCTATCAAGTGTAGTGGGGACTAGCAAGCTGCAAAGATGGGAGCCCTGACCCAACGAGGAGCCTTATCTCAGTTTCTGCACAAGTGACCACACCAGTCCTGTGCTACTGATTATTCTCAGCTGCTACTAGAAGTAACTGTTTTGGAAGTGCTGCCATAGCATGAAAGGAGACATGCTAGAGACTACATTATTATAGAGGATGAACTGCAAACCCTGTCAGCAGAAAGATCACAAATTTTCTTACAACGATTTGTTTTCTAGCAGAAGTATAGTGTGCTTTTCAAAGGAACAGCTGCCAGTAAACCAATTTGCATGTATTGTGTTTTTACGTCATTTTGCTGAACATCTGCTAACATCTGAGCATCTGGACAAACATAAAAACACTTAGTTATTTTTATAGCCTTCCAGGTGGTTTTGAACTTTTAATTAGTACTTCTGCAGAAACCATAAATCCCCCATGAGTTTTGGTGTTTAAGCCAGCTGAGTGAAGACTTAACCACTTCTAGTTTTAGAAGGCATTGATATAGTTTATGTAGCTTTTTTTTTTTTTTCCCAGAACTGAAAGCATTTGGCTGAAGAGGTAAACACATTATCGTCTCAAAGAAACAGTTAAAAAAATCAAGCCATTTCAGATTTGAGGTCCATTTTTTGTCACTCTGAGGCATGGTTGATGCTGCACAGTGCAGGAATCCCTGAATGAGTGCTGGTTGAGCCTTGAAATCTACATAGCACCAGGAGTGGAATTACAAGTTTAGGTCTAGAAACAATGTATTTGAAATAAGGTGATTGTTAATCTAAGATTTACTCATTTAAAAATGGATAAAAAACCATACCCTCAACTGCATAATGAAATTGCCACATGGAATTTAGTTTGTCTCTCCTGTATTTAAATAAAACTTCACTCCCTTTTACTTTCTTTCCAGATACACTGTGAAAAGGAAAAGGCAGAGTTACGTATCCGTGCTAAACCATCTCTCTTTCAGCACATGGGGATTTATTCATCATTGGCTGGGAAGATACAGAATTTGAAAGTAAGGATAAGAAATGAATGCCGTATTTCTAAATTGTATCCTTCTTGTTCTGACTTGTTCTTCAAATCAGTTTCAAGCCTTGGATCTTTGGCATTAGATGGCATTTTCATACCCAAGAGTGCTGGTTTACAGATTTGGGGGAGGATATTGATCTGGCACGTACACTGCAGATTGGGCACACTACTTCTGCACAAACATCTTGGAATCTCTGATCTGAACGCTCGTACCAATGATAGCAGCATTTCCTGTAGGAACCCACCTCACAGCACAAGGTTTCGTGTGCTCTGCACCGTACAAACACAAACGGCTATGATGATTTGTTTTGGCTGAATAAGGACATGGTTTAGTGGTGGACTTGGCAGTGCTAGATTAACGGTTGGACTTGATGATCTTAACGGTCTCTTCCCACCAAAACGATCCTGTGATTCTATGATAGTGCACAATCCCAATCTAAGGGACTATTAAGAAGAAGGTAACTGGTAGGACAAGGCTCTGGCTATCATGACGGCCTTAGATTTTTAGGGAGAGTTTGGAGGGCAAACAGTGGATCTACCATATACTTCATAAGGACAAGAGCAATGAAGGACCAGACTTCAGGGATGTCCTGATGGCACCATTTAGACTAGTCATGAGATCATTTGAAGTGCTGTATTGGATCAGACTGGAGGTTCATGTGGCCTTTAGCAGAGCCTAGTATCAGACATCCTGGCAGATGGCATAGTAGAAAACTATGAAATAGCCTACTGTGGAGAAGTTTATTTTTAAATCTAGGTAACTGAGAAATAATCATTACAGCTCTGTCTACAAACTGTAACACTGAGTACATGGAAATGAGTATTCTATTTCTATAAGAAAATCCATTAGAAAATTTTTCTAAATCTGTTAGAAAATTTATTAGAAATAGATTGTATATTTTCTGACACTGAGGTAATTATTTTCTGGAATAGCTTCCTGTAGTAAGTTGAGATATCGGAGCACTTTTTTTTCATTGTATGAGTGAAATTACACTTCTTTATATTCAACAGGATAAAGATTTTGGCAAAAATGTGCTACATAAAGCACATAATAATCCACCTGGAAAAGTGGATACAAGCCTACAAACATACCAGCAATATACCTTGGAAAAAATTTATAAAGGAGAAGACTGTTTTTGGGCTTCAGCTCCAGTGGCAGGGGACTACATCCGCTTCACCTTTTTAAATCCACTAAAAATTGAAAAGTAAGTATTATATCATATGGGATATGGAAGCCTACGCATATCCAGTTTGGGGTTGATTGTCTTCAAAATCACCAGTGCTCAACTGTTCATGTAAACCATAGCCTTGTTACTCACCAAAAAATCCGTTATTTGCTATTTGTCTGCTCCCCCTTCTTGAATTCCCCTCCTGAAATACATTTCTTCCTTGGTAATTAGCGAGATGCTTAATTTTTTTTCCTTTTATTTCTTTGGTTAAATATTTTGCATTCTCTCCTGATAATTCTCAAAAGATGAATTTCATCAATGGAGTCGGTGAAAGTTGTATTTCTATAGTTATCAACAGAAAGGCTGTTTGCATGATGTCAGTCAAGTCAAAGGCCATGTCCCAGACCAGACACTTTCCAGTGTAGGTGAAAGCAAAAATATCAGTATTGTGGGGAAATAATGAAGAGTGAATTAATAGAGGTGGGATTCAGTTGAAGATACAGAGCTTTAAATGTAGGTATTTACAGTAGAGATGTCTACGTAAGGTAGGTGTGTAAGCTCCTTCTGTACACAGCAGATAGAGATCTACTTGATACAGCCAGAGGAAGCGAGAGAAGTATTCATCTCATTCTCTGTTTGGTCACCTGAGTCAGCTGCTGTTTCACTGACTGTATTGAGAATATCTCCATTGCCTGTAACAAGAGCTTGAAGACCAGGATCACAGCTGGCCTTCTAACTTAACATGTTTGGATCTACAGCCAAGTCCCACCTTGAATGTTTTTCTCATTCTAAAAGATGAAACTATCTTCCCTGTTCTCATAGCATTCAACTTGGGTTTCTTTGAAAGGCAGGGACACCTCTAGGTTAAGATAGAGTGTTTTTCTGAAGGACTCTATGAACAATACAAATAGAGATTGGCACCAAAAGAAGCAGCCCCTCCCGGTTCAGCAAAGTTTCTTCTTCTCTCTGTGTCAGATTGGAGAATGGATCTGAGTTAAAACTAACCTAGCAAGACATATAGTTCCAGAAGAGTGTCTCTGACACCAAGTACCATAATTACCGTATCTTTGTAATGATATTCAGAGAGAAAACTCCTTCGCTGTTATTACACTTCCTCCCAAAACTGGTCACAAAACTAAGAGAATTCCATTTCTGCAAAGATTGTAGATTTCTCGTTTATTTTTTTTAAAAAGTATCTAAGAAAGCAAGTCTATATCTCCATCTAGTGAGCTGCACTAAATGAGAGTTGTTGTAATGAGCACTGGTGTTCTGTGATCAACACTGTTAATTAACTGATTTATGCTTTGGGAAATGTGGGTAGCCCCTATTTTTGCATTCTCCTGTTAGTAGGAAGCTGTACTGCATGAAGGTAATTTACATATGGGATTGCTTGATGGCTGGTGCCAGCCCCATCCCATTGCTAACCACTGAATATGTATAGTTAGTCCAACAATATTTGGTAGTCTTCTTAGGTCTTGATTGTTTCATACCAGAGGAGGGAGGTGGGTGCTTTAAATTTTTTTTTTTATCTAAAAACCTAAGAACTCCAATGCCAGAAATTTAAAACCGAACCGAGATATTTTAAAAAAAAAAAAAAGGATGGTATTTTTGCTTTGATTCTTCCTTTGCCAATTCTGCTGCTCACTGGCTATAAAGGAAATTATTTAAAAGCACCTGCATTGATCAATATTGATAAAAAGGGTGATTCTCTTGGCACGTAGCATATGGTCCAATAGAAACTGGGGCTTTTGTTTTCATTGCATTCCAGAAGCCCATCTCACCTCAGTCTTAGGATGACAGGAACACATCAGAGGGCAGACCTTCCTTAGCCATTTCAACCATTTCAAATTAATTTCTTTGCAACTTGAGCACTTAAAAAGGGGGGGACACTTGGTTCCAGAGAAAGATGGTTTTACTGCTTGTCCTGTTCAAAATAAAAAGCCTCTAGTGTGGTTTGTGACACACTGGAAAGTTTCAGTGCCTATTTTTGTTCTCTATAGCCCACAGCTAATTAAAGAAAAGGTATTTGAAGCTTTCTTTTAAAACTGAAAAGGATTACTTCCTAGAAAGTAGTATTTCTAAAGTATAAAATACCTGGAAATAATATACATTTATCATCAGGTACTTCTTCAGAAGTGGAAACATGGAGCACCCTGGTGACAAACTGTTTAACACAACTGTGGAAGTGTTGCCAGCTGATGTAAGTCTCTCATTTCCAACTGTAATTAATACACAGTGCTATTTCATCTTCAGAATGAAGTTCTGCATAAAATGTCAGGCCCCAAAAAATATTTCTGGAGATGTTATTGTTGGGTTTTTTTGCAGGAAATGCTAAGAAAAGAACTGGTTGACAATGGAAGTAAATTTAACTACCCAGCAACCAAAGACGGATATTTAAAAATAGGTAAATTGTTTATTGTCACTTCAAAACCAGAAATTTTGTTCTTACCTGTAAAATGTTTCTGCATTTGAGAATTTCATTATCTCTACAACATTCCAAAGTGAACTAGTAAGGAAAAGAAACCCTTTGCACTACTGCATGTTATAGTGTATGATGTTTGACCAATGCCTATTTCATTTTAAAAAACAAACAACTTTACCAGCAGTGGCCAAAGCCAAGGCATCAAATTAGAAGAAAAACTAATTGCAGTCCCCTCAAGGTCTCAATAGAATAATTGATTCTGGTTTGGATTTTCAGCCTAAGCTGAAGACTAGGATTTCTTACAATTATGAGTGTTAATTGTGCTCCAACCTGAAATGAAGCATCACACAAATGTGCCCTCCCCCTTTTTGCCCCCAGCTCTGCGTCCCGTTCTTCCCACCTCAGGGTGGTGCGTGACTTCTCTCCAATGACCTGCAGGTTCTCCACACACTTGCCAAGGCCTGGTTTCTACTGTTACCTAAACTAAGGCGCCACTATGTGAACAAAAAATGGTCCATGGGGAGATCTGCTTTGCTTGCCACTTTCTTCTGCCTCTTCTACCACAGAATTGCTCTTTTCTCCCAATGAACCGCTTTCACCTTCACCAACGCTTCTCGTTGGATTTGCACCTCTCCCCCACCTCCTCCTGACTCCTTTCCTCTAATTAGAGATACGAACTGAAATGCTGTCAACTCACAGTTGCACATGCAAGTTGATAGGAAATAAGTATCATACATGGGATGAGTGTTTTTCGTTTGTCTGTGGTGATTTTATGCCAGCTTAACAAGGTTTGTTAAAAAGCACTGAACTAGTGAAGAAATGGATCAGAATCGGGCCATGATTCCTAATGTAGCTTCTAAAAAGTTATCATACTTCTCACAAAAGCTCTTTTAGATTATTGAACGTGACCATGTGTGCTGTGTGTATATGGTCACTGCTAACATATTTAAATTTATTTCATAACATTTGTAGCTATAGGTTCATTATTTTCTTGTGTTCTTCTCCAGCTCCTAGTTGCTGGAACTGAAGGAACGAATCCTTCTTCTTGTTTATAGCTTTATCTTTCAGTTACATTTGTTTGACTTTTTCCAAAAGATTTTTTTCACTAATGTATCCCTGGAGTTAATTTATAATTTGTGTTTTAGAGCTTTTGCATAAGTTTAGTTGGGAAGCGTATTTCATTCTAATATATACTTGTATGGGTCTTGTTTTATTTTATATTTAGGAGCTTTTGAAAATGGAATTGCAGAAGGCAATGTCAGTCAGTCAATAGGAAAAATACAGGCTCTTCGTTTATCAGTCAATTCTGATTCTCCTGTGTGGGCAATACTTAGTGAGGTAAGCATGCTATTAAATTATTTTAATTAAAGCTTTATTAAATGAGTTTCAGGTCTTCCTATCATATAGTATTGATAATCATTAATTTTTATTTCGTTTTGAATGGGATTTTGTGTGGAAAAACTCACACAAGCAGAGAATGATATTAATTATTCAGGGGAGAAGTTAAATTTACTTCATAGAAAAAGTGCTGGAAATGCTCACATGGGATGGTTCTCCAGTTTTGCAGTGCTGTAAGTAGAGCCGCTAGAATTTGGGTCATGATAAAGAGACCAACCAAAGGAGACAGGGAGGATTTTCTAGCTTTTGTCAGTCACCATCTTGGATGTTAATTATAACAATCTCAGATATTAATTATAATAATCTTGGACATTAACTATTATATGCCAACATTTTCAGATTAAAATGTGATTTTTTTTATTCTTCAAGTTTCTCCCAAGTTTCTGAATGTGTGTGAGCCCACAAGTAGAAAATATTCAGAAGTTACTGAAGGGAATGACCACAGTCTTAAATTATAGCCTAGGTGGGTGGAGGGAAAAGCTAATGTTTTAGGCAATGCTTCTGCAGATTTTATAAAAGAATATATTTTGTTTTTTTCAGGTACTTATCAAGACATCTGAAAACTGAAAAAAAAAAATAAAATTTGGACACGTTGCTTGTTATAGATTGTTTGAACTCAAGGCTAACGGCAACCAAACACTGCCCGGGTAAAAAGAACAAATCCAAACCCATTTCATTCTTAATACTGTGTATTAGGAAAGAGTTGTGATAGCTATTAAATCTTTATATAAAGAATATTAAAAGCTATAAAGAACCTGATTATGTTAGTATTTTCTAGAAAATGTTCTTGAGTAAGGTGTCATATATAAAAATCCCACCTTTGCTTGGCAACACTTAATATATATTATTATGAAGAACTGATAAAGCAGTACAGGCTGTCTCAGGGACTAAAGCACAAAAGTATGCTTTCACCAGAATTAAAAATACAGACATTTTTGAAAAATATTAAGGACACAGTTTTCAACTCCACTCAGAACACTTGTCAATTTTGGATGGAAAGTATAACTGAAGGAAAGTTGTCAATATTCATTGCAAGGATTTGGAGCAGTCCATAGAGATAGGAACCACTTAACAATACGAAAACAGGTCTCAAATTTAACAGAAGAAATGTGTTTCAGCATTAATGTAGCATAAGTTATGTTTAGTATTTCTTTTAATGGCAAGTGCCTACAAGTTACCATTTGAATAACTTGAAACTGAAACAGATATTGTTCAGATGATTGTAAGACTTTTCAGTGAATTTTGCATTTAATTAAGTACAGGAAATAATAAGGGTATTCTGTGTAACTATATTTTTGTAGAAAGAAAATCTATTTAAATAAAATTTTGTATCTTGTAATTTGATAATCAGTATGTACTGATACTGAAATCTTGGTGACGAGGCAAAACTCAGTAAAAATTTGAAAATAAAAGGTAAACCACAGTGGTTTCATTTGAAGTGTTTTTGGGAAATGACAATCCACCTTGGAAATCCAGCTGTTAATGTGCAGAATTCCTGTATGACTTCCTTAGCTCCTGCAGCACAACTGCCCCCCCATTCCCCTGCACAAGCACAGCATCCAAACAGCAGAGGGTGAGAAAGAAGCTGCACCGTATCCTTTTGTGTGGGTTTGTATTAAATGTCTTAAATTACCGCCGAATTGTATTCTTAATGCAAAAACGTTTCTGTTTCGAATAAGATGAAATTCGTTTTCTTACATTAAGAAGGTTCAGTTACAGTTCAGAAGGGTGTTTTTTCAAAGACCACCTCTAATAATATTTTTGATAATTTACAGTATTGATTGTATACTGTGGTGCTACATATATGTACACGTAGAGAGATATATATACGTACGTATGTATGTATATATTTTTTGGACCAAATATTGCAGCCTTCATTAGGTTAAGAGTTTAGTGCAGGTTAAGAATTAATGCAGTAATCCAGAGTGCTTAGAAACTTGGGTATGAAAATGATAGAAGTGTGGGACTTCTCTTGATGCCTCAGTTCAGTTCTCTGCGTGTCATGGCTGTTGGTGCTGTCAGTGAAATCACACGGTGTCACGGGGATTAGTGTCATCTTCAGGATCTCGTTAAAACGCTTCAGAACGGCAAGTAAACGTGTTGTAAATCTATGGGCTGAACTGCCCTCTTATAGGGCCTGTTTCGCCTGCCATCAAAAGGTGAAAACTGCAGAAAACGAAGTAGAAGGAGCATTTCTTGTAGCACATTTTACTAATTAAGAGTGTGATCCAGTAAAAGCTTAAAAATCTTCTTTTGCCATTGTTTTCCCTGCAACAGAGCCACAGCTGGGAGCAGAGTCTGCATTCAGGCGGCCTCACCCTCACTTCTTACGGGGAAGCGTCGCTCTAAGGAGGAAATTTCAGAGCAATTATTAATCAGTGAAAACACAGAAAATACTAAGGTAATAGATTTTGTTACCAAAACCTCTTATTTTCACAGTGAAATGAGATTTCACTTGACTTTTTGAAGCACAATTTCAAAAAGCTGATGAGAATATCTGAAACCAGTAAGTGACTGGGCTTTTTGTAAATCTATCTTTTTTTTCGTTCTGCACCACCAGCTTTGAGATTCATTCATCCTGTTTCTGGTTTTTAGGTATTTTACGTCACCGTTGCCATCAGAGAACACACTTCCCATCAGCTTGACGTCAATGTGGTTTTAAACACTGACACAGCAAATAACAAATGCTTGCACACGCACTGTTCAAGTGACATTTTTTTTGCTTCTTCCCAATTCTCCCCCGTGCTAAACAGCCCATCTCGTGTGCTATCACTATTATCCTTCTCTGTACTCCAATTAACTGGTTCAGTTAGCCTAGGTACAGCTGGAAAAGCTACAGCTCCATCTCTAGCTTACAGAAAATTTTCTTTTTCAGGCACCACTGATAAAAGATCTAGAAATTCCTACCTTTGTTGCGGAGCCACTTGTTGACATTAATATTATTTACGGAGTAAAAAAGAATCAGAAAGAGAGATACTGCACCAGCCCAACAAAACTGAAATTGCAAAATACAGAAGTAGCTAACTAGTACTTGAGATTGGACACAGGTGTTTTATCACAGCCCTAATCTCTTGAAACTGTTGCAATTAACACTTTTAGCTCTTTCACAAACCACCACTGGAAAAATGGAAAACCCAAAGGAGTTTCAGATTCCATGCCAGATCACCAAGCTCCTTCGGCAGGAAATTTTACTTCAGTACTTTCACAGAATCACAGAATCTTCGTGGTTGGAAGGAGCCTTTGAGATCCATTTGAGTCCAACCACAAAAAATCCAAAACCACACACCACAAACAGACACAACCCAATGATCCTGGGCACTAGAGCATGCTCTGAAGAACCATGTCTACACGTTTCTTCAATTCCTCCAGGGTTGGTGACTCCACCACCTCCCTGGGCAGGCTGTTCCAGTGCCTGACCACCCTCTCAGTTAAAGTGATTCTTCCTGGTATCTAATCTAAACCTCCCTTGCCCCAACTTCAGACCATTTCCTCTGGTCCTCTCATTATTCCCTTGGGAGAAGAGGCCAACACCCACCTCCCTACACCCTCCTTTCAGGTAGTTGTAGAGGGCAATGAGGTCCCCCCTCAGCCTCCTCTTCTCCAAACTAAACATGCCCAGTTCCCTCAGCCTCTCCTCACAGGACTTGTTCTCTAGACCCCTCACCAGCTTGGTGGCTCTCCTCTGGACACGCAGTTTAAAACATAACCTACAAAATATTGACTACCTCGGGCTCATTGGACACATACCTAATCAGGTTCAATGCTTGTGTGGGAAGAAAGCCCGTTTTTCAAACTAATTCAATATTAATGATGATTTGTTCAAGCAATTTTGACTTTGCTGGAGCGCAGTCATTCATTTCTCTGAACACCATGTCTCTGTTCTTGCCTTAAATCCTTTGAGGAACTTTTGAAAGGGGAATGCCAACCTTTGTCTTCAATACAGGAGTCAGTTGTGAACTTGGCTTTACCAATTTTTTAACATGTTTTTATCTCCATTAATGACGTGGGTCCCTAATCTCATCAGTGTCTCTCGGCCTGTTTTCACCCATCTACTGTAAATGCTGCTGGCTGCTAAACCTACACTGAGGAGAGACTAAACAGGAGTACCTATTAAAATTAATTAAGAGATATTTAATCCAAAGTTGAAGATGTATTTGCTCATTGCATTGAACATCTCTCTCATGTTGGAGAAAGTAAGCAGGGAGTGTCACATACACAAGCATCCCAATTTTCCCCAACATTTACTTTTTTTATTACTCATAAGTCACACAGGTGTTAGCTGTATTACTGGTTGCACAAACAAATTGTCTTGTCTGCGAGTGCGTTGGGTTGTGGGTGTTTGGTTTTTTTTTCTAACTATTATTTCTTTGCATAAATGTAAGATTCCAGATAAATCTTTCCTAGATGCCTTACCATGAATGGCAGGAATATTAACAATTAATTCTGCAGGAAACAGAAATCTTTAATTCTGCAATCACTTCTAAAAGGAAGTATGCCTATTCCAAGCTGCGAGGACAGTTTTCATCTGTCTTTGTTTCATGACAGATTGCTCAAGAACATTCTTTTTTTTTTAGGTAGAGATGTCTAGAGATTGAAATTTCTGTGCTATTTCTCAAAAGTACATTATATGAAGATTTGAATTAAGGCGTAACAGGTCTTTCTGATCTGCATTAGAATCACAGAATGGTGCCATAGTCCTACAGGAATTAAATCTTTCAACATTCCTAGAAAAGAAATTGTGCTGTGTTTCTACGACATAAACGTGCTGTGTTTAGGGTGCAAAGTTTACATCGCTCTTTGGAGATTCTAAAGTTTGGATATTGTAATAATCTATGGCAATCTTAAGTTTTGATGGCACTACCAAAAGAGAAATATAATCAATTAAGTTTGAAGCCCGTGCGTTAGTTTACAATGACCTTCTGGCACTTGAAAGGCAGAACACCACGAAAATAGCATTTGGATTTACAATTCGTATGGGACATTCTAGTGGCAACTCCCAACAGTTCTGAGTCAACCAACTAAGATGGGATAGACAGAAATCAAATGGAGAAATCTATAAAATTATCTGAAGTTTCAAATTATTTCAGGAAGGGGGAAGCTTAGACTGAGTCTCCAACTGTGAGGGTGGTGAGGCACTGGAACAGGTTGCCCAGAGAAGCTGTGGCTGCCCCATCCCTGGAGGGGTTCAAGGCCAGGCTGGATGGGGCTTGGAGCAACCTGCTCTGGTGGGAGGTGTCCCTGGGCTGGAGCTCGATGATCTTTAAGGTCCCTTCCAGCTCTAACCATTCTATGATTCCATCCATCCCGACCACCCACCGCAGGCCTGGCTGATGGTGGCCACGACGGCACAGTCTTTCTCGGGAAACTCCACACCGCGGCACACACTGACGCGTCCCCCACCCAACGCCGCTGGATTCACCGTCTCTCCTGACAACTTTTCCTCAGGGAACAGGCCGACTCCGCCGCGCCCCCGCTCCCCTTCCCCCGGGCGGGCCTGGGCGCCGAATGGCGTCGCGGCGGCGAAGCCGAGGGGCAACCTGGGAAGGTGCTGCCCCGCCATTGGCTCGGGCATCCCGCGGGCCGAGCCGTCATTGGCCCACTCCGGGAGAGAGGGCGCCTCTGGATTGGCGGGGCTACCTGCCGGCGGCAGCTGGCGGAGGCGGTGTTTCGGGTGCGGATTGGGCAGGGCCGCGCTTGCTGCGCTCGGATTGGCTGAGGCGGAGCGGCGGCACCTGCTCCTCGGCTCCCGCATCCCCCCGGGGGCGGCGGTGCGCATGCGCGGCCGGGGATGCCCGGGGAACGGCGGCCGGGCCGGGCTGGGCTAGCGG